ATGTTCACATTCAAACAGCACCCCGACACAGACAAAACCAATGGTGTAAAACTGACAAAAAACACCAAACCTCAATCTGACTGAAAAACTGGCAACTGCAGCAAAAAAATGGTTCTATGAAGTACTGACTTGGTGGTGCTTGCACAACCATTTTTTTTTTAAAACATTTTGTATTACATTAAAGCCACATTGCCACAGGCATCCAGTTATGGAGGCACATGTGACCTCATTTTATGATACAGAGCTTTAAAGTAGACCTACACTGCATCTGAGCACCACAAAGAAAAAAAATGCTATACTATAATTTAATATTCAAAGCCCCCCCCCCCCCATGTCTCCATGCTTTTTTTGTTTTGCTGAGAAGTCACTTTGAAAAACACCTCCCTAGCATTTCTGGTTGTACCCAACTTGAGTGAGGGCAGATGATTCATGTAGCATTTACTTCCTGGAATCCAAAAAGGATATTGTGCAGGATTGTGATCCAAAATAAGAAAACTGCTCCATAAGTGATACAGAGCTCTCAGACATCTCAGTCTTCCAAAGCCAGTGTCCACAAAAACTGTACGGAGGGAACTTCATAAGCAAGACATCCACAGGCAAGCTGCAATTGCCAAACCACTACTGACCGATATTAATGCTCAGAAGAGGAAAGAGTGGCGCAACACCCATAAATCTTGGACTATCGATTAATGGAAGACTGTAATATGATCCAATGAAAGGAGCTTCACACTGTTCCCAACCACCGTACATGTGGCAAATACCTTCCAAGATTACGACCAGGGGTGTCTTGTGGCAACAGTAAAGCATGTTGGTGGCGCAATCTTGGTTTGGGCAGGCCCCCATCATCACCTTGAAAGGTAGAGTCACTGCCAGCGACTAAGTACAAATTATGGCCGACCATGGTGCAGATATTGTTTGCCAAAGACTGCGCCATTTACCAAGACAAATGCTTTGGATTTACACAGCTGGTGTTGACAAATCGTGATTTGCCGAGCATGCAAAGTCTTGCACCTTCCCTGGGCACCGCAGTCACCGGACCTCAATATCGTAGAGCCACTATAGTCAATTTCGGAGAACAAGGTTTGGGCTGATTTTCCGCCTCCACCATCACTGCGGAAACTAGAACAATTTTTGCATGAAGAATGGTATCAGATTCCATTATCCAAGACTTATTGGCAATTCCCAGGAGAATTCAGGTCATCTTGGATGCCAAACACGGTCCAACAGCATATTAGGTAACGATTTTGTTTTGTTTACCTGGGTGTTTCCATAATTTTGTCCAACCTCCGTAACTTCCTATTTACTAACACTAGCAGCATAAAGATTGAAAATAGTCAATGTTGATAAAAGTTCCACTTTAAAAAAGTGTGTAAAACCAGCTACGCTATGTCACACATTTCACAGAGCCTGCCTTCTGAACTACTGAGGAGCAGTTTTGGGAGGCGGGGTCAGTAGAGGAATCCCAGCTTACAGGCAAGCAAGGTGCCATGAATATGAAAAAATATGAAATGAAAGCAGCAGAAGAGAAGATGCCAAGCTTGCAGGGAATCCATGAAGTTGTGGAAAGAGATAGCCAGCAGACAGGCAGAACATATGAAAAAAAAAAGATGTTTTAAAGTAATCATATTGGATTGTCAAAAATTATAATTGGTATTGTTAGGACAATGCTGAGTTATAAAACAAGTGTATGCTGAGACCACAGATTTCCTTTAACCCTAGTAGCCAGTAACTAGGTCCAGGAAGTGTCACAAGGTGGAAAGGGAAGGCATTACTGCTCCCTCTAGACTTAAGTAAACACTGGATATTTGAATTGTGGCTGCAACAGAGGGAAACATGTATTTCTCTTTGTAAAGATATCTTATTAGCTTTATTGTTTTCAGTAGGATAATTCAAAATTCAATGACAGAGTGAGAAAATGCATAACCAGCAAAGGAGGAAAAAAAAAAGCCTGTATACATAAACAGTAAATACAGCTAAATGTACGTTTGATGTTAATTACTAAATATTAAAAAAAAAAAAAATTGCATTCCAGAACATTTCTTTGAGAAAAAAAAAACAAAACACAAGGAAGTGACATGTTAATGTGCAAATGACAAGGCTTAAAGTATTACTAAACCCAGGACCCTGCATTCACTATATCTGGTTTCCCACAGTACACAGAACATGGAAATGCAATTCATTTAGTAAATATAAACTGCTAAATACCTTTTCTCATCAGCAGTATTTTGACTTCTATCAGCATCCAGGAGAGCACTGGTTAAAGCTTGTAGGAGGAGTTTTCATTCTCCTATGACTGCCCTATAAAATTGAATGACCCCTGACCCTCTGTCTGGACAGTGCTGATTGGCCCTGTGCTGATCACATGCATTCTATCAAGAAAAAAAGAAAACTCTAGCAATACACACCAAATTGAGCATGTGCAGTGTCCCCGAGGCTCTGTTCTTTCAGGAGATGAAATGGGGAACGTTGGAAGAAGGGGAAGATCAGAGAAGAGCGTAACAAACAGCGTATTTACACAATGCAGAGGATTAACCCCTTAAGCTCCACAGTGCGTATAAAAAGCATGCTTTACTGCATACACAGACTGATTTTACTGTTGTTGGTTTAGTAACACTTTACAGTTGACTAAAACAGAAATCAAAGGGTGTATCCACTACAGGTAGTGTGAATAGGTGATTTTAGACAGGACTTCTTATAAGTTCAAGTTAACTAAGAAAAAAAAATACTGTGTGTGTGTATATATATTAAACAGATGAGTTAGGGTGTTTTGTTGCCGAGTGTGCTGGGGACCATCCTGTATACTGCACAGCCCATAAGCAACCTTTACTATTTGCTAGTCTCAAAACAGATCAGAAGCTGCCATCCATGCTAGAAAAATCATATATACACATACATATATATATATATATATATATATATATATATATATATATATGAAAATAGAGGGTACTGAAATTCGTCACCATTTCACAAGTGCGCACAAATTAAAGGTTTGACAAGTTGGATATCTATTTACTCGCTGCAACCTTATCTTTTATGTTTTTGTATTGCTTTTTTTTGTTGAATATAACCACCATTTTATTCTCTAGGGTATCTGATTTCAGAAAATATATCATGCTTGGGGCTTTTATGTAATCTTCAGGCCTAAAATTATTTTTTTTATCTTGTGCAAAAAAACAGCAAAAACAGCTCTGGCAGCGAAAAGGGATAAAAGGATAATCCCTGACACTCCCCTTTCCTGACAAGCACCCAATCGGTGCTCATTACACTGCATGGTGTCTCTGCTCCCTGCTTGCCTCTGAGTGCGGTGCTGGAGAGAGGCAAGGAGAGGAGATAAACAGCGGAATGTTAAAAATATTAAAAAGTAGTCATAAAACGTCTTGTTTTTCAAACATTCCTAATATCACCTCCGATTTAAATACGGTTTTGGTTTAAAAAATTTATTTTTTATTTGGACAAGTAGATTGTTATGAGGGACAAGTAGATTGGGAGACCTATTTAGTCCCTTGGACAAGCATTTTTTTTCTAAAATTTCCACACCCCTGAAGATGTGTTTTATGTGCAGTTAACAATTTACTAGCACCTGCATGTGTGTTGCAAGAGCACCACGTTCATCCATGGGAACTGGGCACTTAATGTGCCTTTCCCGCACCACATTTTGAAGAGAAAATTCCACTTTATGCTCTCTCCCCCCACATGTGGCAGAACGGGCCTCTCATTTTGATTGGTGAGGACAGCGCTGGATCCCTGGACAGGCAAGTGTCTATTTATTGAGCCCTGGTTCACACCTTGTCTGGCAATTTGGAATTGTCAAATCACACACCCTATATGTGCCTATGGAACAGACTTTGTGATGCCACATCAATTTTGAAAAAAAGATTCCCGCACTATTTTGGGCAATTTCATGCGTGACTTGCATAGACATCTGTGCAGGAAGTTGTGCGATAAGCCGCATTCAGTGTGAGCCAGGGCTAAAAGTCAGCAGCTACAGTATTTGTAGCTTGACTTTTAAAGGATAAGTTAACCTTTGGAACATGTGGCACACTTTTCAGGTTGGAGCATGCAACATGCACCAGCCTCCCTGTGATAAGGATCCATAATTTGAAAAGAATGCAGCCTTGCGGGGCTACGTCCACACCATTCATTCACAGTTTCCTGTGAATGAATACCTACCTACAAGTGCTGTTCTACAGCTTGAAATTCTTAATGCATGACGACAGTGCTGGTGAGCACTCCCAGACTTCCTGGATTTCAGTAACTGCCTGGCCGTATTGAAGGTACAAGCAGATAGTGTACTGAGTCTACAAGAAACTGATATTGCACCCATGATATGCTGATTGCGAGTACAATGCTTTATAGGCTCCTGTAAGGGGAAAAAAAACAAACCAAAAAAAAACACAAAAACTTTTTTTTTTTTTTACCTGCAAAAAGATATATTCTTTTTTTTAATAAAGTGAATGTAACTTTTAGAGTGGTAGTAAACAGCCACAAAAAAAAAATAAAATTTAGCAGCTGCAAGTTTAAGTCATGATGTACTTATATGCAGTGTATCCTAGCACATTATGACAGACTTACCTGGACACAGAGTACTCCAGTGCAGGGCTGTCACGGCTCACAGGTGCATCCATCCCTACCCGGTCTTCCTTCCAGGTTCGCATGTATGAACGTCTGGGGCCATGATAACGTCATTCCTGCTTATGTGTGCGGAAGCCCCGACCCCGAAGGTCCAGCACAGGTATACCATCCCGTCAGAGCGCATGCATCTTGACATCACCGGCCGCATGCAGATCTCTTAAACAGTGCAACTGATCCTACAGGTAAGTCTTATTATAGACCTACCTGTAGATAAAAGTTAAAGCAGAGTTCCACTCACCCAGTCAAAAAATAAAAGTCAGCAGCTACAAAAACTGTAGCTGACTTTTAAAAAACAGCCACTTACCTGTCCCTCGGTGTGTCCCCTGCAGCCCGTTTCACCGGCCGTCCTGGATTCCAGGAGGCCGGCATCTTCAGTGTGGGCACCCGGCTGTGACTGCTTGCGGCTTCACAGCCGGGTACCCACTGCGCATGCATGAGTAGCACTGCACTTCATGAATGATCCTGCAGTCTTCTGGGACCTGTCGCATGTCCCAAAACACTACAGGGAGGGAGGACAGCTACCGCTTCCAATCACCTAGGCCAGGGGTAGGCAACCTGTGGCTCTCTAGCTGTTGTGGAACTACATTTCCCATGAGGCACTGCAAAGATTACAAAACAGTTACAGCTATGACTTGCAGAGGCATGATGGAACTTGTAGTCCTGCGGCTCTCAGGTTGCCTACCCCTGGCGTAGGCGATCGGACTGGAAGTGGGTACCTATCAAAGTCAGGTACCCACTCACCCCCCAAAAGGTGCCAATTCTTACTGGGGAACGGGGAAGCAGTCCTTAAAGTGAAACTTCCCCTTTTGGGTGGAGCCCCGCTTTAAAAAGCAGACTTTAATGCCATTTTTTTCATCTTTCTAGGATGAAGATCCTCTTAAATGGCACTCATGCACCAGAAAACACACGCCATTTATGGGTGCATGATTCTGCATGGTGCTTCTGAGCAGCTGCGGTTTTTTTTTTTCTTTTTTAAACAATCGGGGACCTTTGCCCCACAAGTAGAGCGGGCCGCTGTGCCTCTGCAAGGAAAAATGTCACCAGCACACCAAGGATCACCAATATGGGTCCAGACACTATTACAATCTGGGGAGTACCACGATACACGTGACCACAATGTTTATATCCCCAGGAATGCAGTTTATGCACATCTGATGGTTTTATTTTCGCAGTTTGTAATGTTTCTATTTACATTGATTTGAATGCATTTTGGAGGGAACATAACATCATGGGGCGGGGCCAAGCTCATTTCACTTCACTGATTGGTGGATGGTTTTCTTAACTAGTTCTCCAGTTTCTATCACAATTTGTCACATGCCTGATGAAGGGGTCCTGAGAGACTCCGAAACGTTGCCTTGCTGCAACTATGTGATCGTTCATTAAAACCTTTGGCCCCATATTGGTGATCCTCAGTGTGCTGGTGACATTCTCCCTTGCGGATTCTGTTCCAGCCGACGGTCGCTGCCGCACCCACTTATACACACCGCCATTTTTAACGCAGGAACATGTGCGTTTGGACTATACACTTGCTGTGCCCCTTCAAACACGCCTGACAGCCGGTTCGCGCTAAACGCAGCACAGGAAAGGTGCGTTTGTTGAGCCGCTCGCACTGCCTACGAGAGATGCTTGCAAGTTCTATTCATTGTTAATGCAAGTTAATGTTAATGGCGTTCCAAATGCATTTCTCAAACACAGCACATTTGTAGCCACCTGGTTGGAAGGTACCGCAGCACCATGCGGTTTGCCAAATGTAGGCCCTGCACTACTTTTTGCATGACTGGCAACTCGCTGAAAGGAACGGGCTGTTGAAACCGAATTGTGTGGAAACGCATGTGTTCTTGGGCCCCAAGTGTGCTACAACGCATGTCACATCCTCACACATTACAGCAACACAATTGTGTGAACCCATTGTCTGCATGGAGTAATCCTAAGCAGTCTACCACAGATATTTTTATATAAATATATACATACATATTACAGGAAGCACAATATACAACTACAATGAGTCCAAGCACCACAAGGAGACCACTTCTTCAATGTCTTCTGTGTGCCACAATGATACACTTCACATGTCATCCAATAGCAATATTAGGTGGACTGGGCCTTTAAGACCCCCTTATATGAGAGGCACGCCACAGACTGAGGAGAGCGGCGATATCTGAGAGGTAGAAGCCGGGCCGCCTCAGGTCAGACACGTTTCACGGCGCGCACAGGAATGGAATGTGGCGGCCTCTCCTTACGTGCGGCCTACCACACACACCAATGAACTAGGCCCGCAGGATGCACAGAGGACGCAGCCCGTTCTACAGGCTCCTGTGAGGAGGACTCTGCACTCACCGCTGGCTCTCGCGGGCTTCCTTTTCCTCTCTCCCGGGTTCCACGCACCTGCCGTACACAAAGCACGCACGCACACTCACTCCCTTTACTGTCCGATACACGCCGTTTCACTTTACGACCAACACCAGGCCCGCCTTCTCCGCTTCTCAATACGCAGCCCCTCATTGGACGGCCAGGAGCAACGTGACCGAGCGTAAAAGCCACGCCTTCCGGTCTCCATCTTGTTTGCGGACATCGTCGCCACAGCTAATGGCTGCTGGTGACGTCATTACAACATAAAATATCACATAGTTTTCTTTAGCCACTTAAAATGAACGCTATCTGAGTTATTAAAGAATATAATGAGCCAATCAGTAAAGTCTATCAAAAGCACTAAAGCAGACCTATGGAAATGCAGAGTTTGCCCAAAAACAGCCCTAACACCGCGGTCACATTGGGTGCGACTTGACTTGCGACTTGCAAATTGTATGCCAAGTCGCACCCTATTGTCCGCTATTAGAGCGGTCATAGCAGTGCGGGTCCCTTGGTCGGAGTCGCACCGATTTCTAAAGGAGTGCATGCACTGCTTTTGGTGCGATTTGCATAGGACATCTGTGTCAGATGTCTTGCAAATCGCACCTCAAATCGGCATGTCACCTGACTTTGAAATTGTGCGACCTCACTGTAAGTCGTATGATTTCAAAATCGTCTTTGATGTGACGGGGGTGTTAACCCTGTAAATCAGGAGTGCCCAACCTGCGGCACATATGCTGCATGCGGCCCAAGAAGGCTATGAATGGGGCCCAACATAAAATCATAAACTTGCCTAAAATGTTGCATTTTTGGAATTTTTTTTTTTTTAAAAAATGTGTTTACACTTAGCAAACGCACGTGGCCGGGGAATATTTGGCAGGGTCTCTACTGGACAATGAAAATGAAGTCTTGCTAGATCTCCACCCATATGAAATTTGTATCATTTTTTAAGACAGATAGAGCTTTCTTTTGGTGGTATTTAATCACCTCTGGGGTTTTATTTTTTGCTAAACAAACCAAAAACAACAGAAAATTTTGAAAAATAAATGTTTTTTTTTTTTTAGTTTCTGTTATAAAATTTTGTGAATGAATAATTTTTCTCCTTCACTGATGTGCGCTAATGAGAATGCAGTGATGAACACTGATGAGGAGGTACTGGTAGGTGGCACTGATGGGCATTGACCGGCATCACTGGTGGGCACTGAAAGGCAGTGCTCATAAATGGCTCTGATAGGCGGCACTGACAGACACTGATAGACAGCACTGACAGGTACTGATAGGTGGCACTGATTGGCAGCACTCATAGGTAGCACTGACAGGCACTGATAGGTGGCACTGACTGGCACTCACAGAAGGGCACTGATATGTGGCATTGATGTGCACTGGTAGGCACTGATATGTGGCATTGATGGGCACTGACAGGAGACATTGATGGGCACTGACAGGAGACATTGATGGGCACTGACAGGTGGCACTGATGGGGCTACACTGATCATCAGTGCCCTGATGATCAGTGTACATGTCCCCTCTGAGGAATGCCGATTACCGTCTCTTCTCTCCTCACAAGCTCTCTATAATCAGGTGCTCTCTATTTTACAGCACTGTGCCAGACATGTAGAGGCTGATCTGCGAACAGCCTAAAGATTTACTGCTGCTCAGGGGCTCTGGGCTTCAGCAAAATGGCAGCCTCCAGCAAGAAGAAACGAGCAATGCTGCAGGCAATTTAAGATCGGTTCACAATACTGTGACTTGAAAGTCGCATTGCCAGACGACTTCGTGGTGATTTGCTTGAGTACGACTGTGATGCGTGACTTTCATGCCATGCAACCTTGCCTAGGAAATCTTCCTGTAATATCCAAAATCACATCAATATAGATGAGGATCTTACTTGGAGGCGACTTCCATTAAAGTCTATAGGCACAAGTCGGATAGGAGTTGCCTTGAAGTAGTACAGGAACCTTTTCTAAAGTCGGAGTGACTTCAGTAGTACTAATTAAGACAGCTCTCATTGACTAACATGGGATTTCACATGTCTGCGACTTGAGGTTTCACAAGTCAGATCCCAAGTCGCGGTAGTGTGAATCAAGTCTTACAACACACATACATTTTGGTAGCATAAATATTAATGTAGACTGTATGTTCCTTGCTAAAGAACATTATTTTTTTTATCAAGTGGTTATGGGTAAAGTTCCACTTTAATTGTACAAAAGTGATTGGCGCCCATCTGTCCATGTCCTCATTACAGGTCAAGAGTCCAATCTTGAGGTGAAAGGTCAGCCCACCTGACTTCCAAGGGTCTGTAATAGCCTCTAGACCAGGGATCTCCAAACTTTTCAAACAAAGGGCCAGTTTACTGTCCTTCAGACTTTAGGGGGTGGGAGTAGAAAATGTCTCGAGCCCAGCATCAGTGAGAATAAACATGGCCTCAGGGTTGGTGGTCAGTAGGAGCAGGAGTAGTGTCCCATTATTGGTATTATCAGGAGGAATAGTGCCCCATCATCGGTATCAGTGGGAGGAATAGTGCCCCATCATTGGTGTCAGTGGAAGAAATAGTACCCCAACAGGTCATGTTTTCAGGATTTCCATTATTTTGCACAGGTGATTTGATCAGTTTCACTGCCTTAGTAATTACCACAGCTGTTTCATCTGAGGGAGATCCTGTGGGGGCATGACCTGTTGGGGGTCCATGAGGACTGGAGTTGAGAGACACTGCACTATACCAACCACTAAGATCTACAGAACTGGCCTCTATCAAACACATATATGACCCTGAGAGCGGCCCGAACATGCTCAGACATATGATGGACTAGCCTCCAACTCTGGGTAGTTTAAAGGCCAGCTGTGGGCAAAACATGAAGCCTCTCCCATCCCCTTCTAAATAGAAGTCCTTGAGGCTCACCAACGTAATAAACTTTGTTTTACAGCTATTGAAACCATAAAAATGCTGGTCTATTAGAAGGAGCTCCGATAAGCACAGTACCGGCCATATAGCAACCAATGCCATGTCAGGAAAGTAACCACTTAAGGCCTTGTGTGAATAATATATGCTAAAGGTGACGTTTCTTTTCACCCATCCAATCTGCTTCCTTAAATTCCTTTCAAATCTGAAACGTAGAAATAACAGGTGATTGCAATTTAAAATCAAACCCACCACTCATACATTACAGATTACGGGACCAAAGTACCTCTACCAGACGTAATACCTAAAAAATGTAAGCCTCTGTGGCCAATTTAGCAGCTTGTTATCGCCGGTTTGACTCAGGCCATCAGGTTCTAGAAGTTTATATTCAGTTTTAGGCCTATCAAGCTGTCATTTAGGATGATAGAATGGAATTGGAGGTCCAACTTCGCCCCCCCAGAGCAGGCTCCACAGAGTACTGGCATGTCCTTCACGTTTGGACTCGGTGTGCTTAAGGAGACCCCAATCCCAGGCATGCTCCTTACATCGGACTCAGATACTTCTTCCACTATGG